GGCTTCCAGGTGGCCCTGGAAGTTGGTCGACACAGAGACGCCCTCTTGTGGATTCAAGCGCATGAGAGCAGAGATTCGCTTCTGTGCCTGCTCCGCACGCAGAAGTTCCAGTAACAACTATTATTCCGGAGCACGTCCAGGGTCAGGCGATCATTGTTTTTTTTTTTCCAGAGCAATATTAACCAAGCAGTGTTTGTCTAAGTCAGCAAACTCTGGATTGGTTTTGACCTTCTGGGTCTCATCAGCTGAGTCGGGCTTGTTAAGCATGAAGCTGCGAGATGGCTTGATATTATTGGCAAGAGCACTCTCAAGTTAAACTAAATTCATGATCAACGTTTTTGGGTTAGATCGCGTTATTTATAAATGTGTCGTAACCCTCCACCACCCGACAGGGCCAATCAGCAAAAAAGTGTCACGTTGACAAAAGACAAATAGTTCACTGCTTTAGCCCACCGGTGTGTTGAAGAGTGAAACATTGTAAATGTTGTGGTTGGGTGGTGGAGGGTTACGGCACATTTATAAATAACGCGATCTAACCCAAAAACGTCGATTATGAATAATATTGGTCGCGAAAGCCTACGTGTTAAATTAAACTAAATTATTTGTATTTTGCCAGGTAAGGCCCATTGAGCTACATAGCTCATTTTCAGCGGCGGCCTGGCGACAAATGAGAGCTCAACGAAGTGGCTCATCACGAGGAATTCATAGCAGTCAAATACTCTCAACACGTGATGTTGATTCTAAATGTGGATGGTTAAAGCCGGAGGACCCGAAGAAAAATCCACGCGACCACGGGGAGAGAGACACGCAAACTACAAATATACAACAGTAGGCGTCAGCGGTCGGGATCGAACCCACGACCTCCTGAATACCAGGCGAGGGAGTTAACATTTCGGCATTGCGTCACCCCTATCCTTTGGGAACCCCGTTCAAGGAAAAAGCAACACCATAAACAAACTCAATATGCGTTGCCGTGGAGCATTATAAGTAAAAGCAATATGAGCACAGCTCATTCTGTCTCCACATAAAATAACAAATAAAGAAATATGTACCCCACGAGCCCATTTATTGGCATTCCTGGCCATCGTTACCGAGCGGATATCGCCTCTCGTGGCTCGGGTCGGTGTGTGTACGACAAAGAGTCTGACAAAAGTGATTTATGAAATTCGAATAGTTACGTAATTTTATTGTTCAAAATGCATGTTGCTCTCGTTTGGGGAAAGTAAGTCTTTTCACGTGCCAGCACAGCTGCAAGCCCTCGCCAGTGGGGACGAGCCGGCAACAAAGTTGGCGCCCTTTACTTTGAGCCGGTCGTTTTTTTTTCTCTTTCAAAAAGCGCCCTTGGGCGCAGCTTGGCCGCTCTTGAGGACGCAGAGACTCCCTTACGTCCGCGATGGAAGGCCGTGAGGGTTCTTGTGCTCCAAAAGGTGCGGCCAGCGACGCCGAACTGTGTTACGTCCAGCGAACGACGGCTCCTCTTGGGACAGCCTTACACAGGGCCCTAGGCTGTGTTGATGTTCCATCACGATTGTTACTATTGTCGATTTAAAGTTTTCGTGACTGCGGGGATTCATCTTCTTGGTTCTTTCGGTAAAGTCACATTCAGACGCTGTCTTTCCGACGGACCTGATCTTCACCTGAGGACGGCTGCTTGCGTTGTGGCCGAAACGTCGTGAGAATTGTATTTTATTATGTTTATTTTTATTATTTTATTATTTCCCTTCTACGTGACTTTACCGAAAGAACCAAGAAGATGTTGCTATTGTCTTTGTTGATGATTGTTACGCTTGTTTTCACCAAGGGAAGCCTCGCCGAGCCTCAAGACACTTTATCAGGAGGGTCCTGCCACGTTTTGGCAGTAGGGGAGGGGATGATTTGATGTTGCTGCTGCTCCGTTGTGCATAATCCGAATTGAGCAAGTGCAAGTATTTATTTTTTGCATTGGGTTGTTTGGGCCAATACCAGTTACATTGCATGGTTTTTGTAGCTTTTTTATGAATAATAATCCAGTAGAAGCTGGATACTAGCTCACCCCTTAGGTGGCTTGACCCTGGGCTTGACCCTGAAAAATTCGGGTGGGGAGAGTTCACAGATTATGGGGACAGCAGCAGAGCAGGACTAAACTCCCATGAAGCGCAGATTGACCGAGGGGTTTTCCAGGAGGCGTTGATGGCTGCAGCGCACAGTACGAGAAGGGAAGTGAAGTGAGATGAGAGATGAAATGAAAATCAAGGATATTTATTCATACTGGAGGAATCCGATGATCTATAAAGCAAATTTTTTAACAGATGTCTAATAGAAAGGGAGAGATAGGCAGGTCCCAAGTCCGTCCAGAGACGGAGCGAGAGACGCGGAATGATCCAATGGAGAAACCAAAGCTAATTTTTTAACAGATGTCAAATAGAAAGGGAGAGATAGGCAGGTCCCAAGTCCGTCCAGAGACAGAGAGAGAGAGAGACACTGAATGATCGAATGGAGTAATCCATTGTTTTATTTGAAATGGCCAGGCCCTATCTTGTAGAGGAGCCCTACGAGTGATTGAGTTCCCAGCGGACCAGGAGCACACGCCAGGGGACTGGCCTGACACGGTCGCAATGACGGGCGATGGAATCTCTGGGGCAGCTTCCCCGAGCTGACGTGCTTTCGTAGCCGCAGGGCGCCTGCACAACTCCGCACGTCTCTCTTTGTCTTTCCAGGTGGTTCAGATCAACGTTGGCAACAAGTTAGTACGCCGCGTGCCTGCTCGTGCGTGCGTGTGTTCTGCATCGTTGGCTTCTCTAACACGTTTCTCTGTGCCGACAGCGCCATCGCGTGTGAGGGCGAGTGTCCCTGTGCCTCTAAAAAGCAACTAAAAACATTTTTTTATTTCGCCAGCTTAAGGCCCCACTGAGCTATATGGGTCTTTTTCCCGAAGCGACCAGGCCACAAATGATCGCTCAACAAAGTGGTGTATCACGTGGACACTTATAGCAGGCAAAAACTCTCAAACGCGCGGTGACGTTGATTCTAAATGTGGAGGGAAAGACCAGAGGACCCGGAGAAAAATCCACGCGACCACGAGGAGAGAGACACGCAAACTCCAAATATACAGCAGGGGTCAGGGTCGGGATCGTACCCACGGCTTCCTGCGCACCAGGCGAGGGAGTAAACATCTCACCACTGTAGTGCCCTTTGTGGTCTCTAAACAAAGGTCCCCCGTGTAGCCTACGCAGACTGTTGGGGCAAGTTCTGCCAGCAAGTGGGGTTAGCGCAACCCCACAGTACCACGAACCTCTCCACGGTAGGAGTTCGATTCCCGCTCACGACCAACACCAGTGACGAACGTCTGAACCCCCTTCCTGGGCCTCTCCTCTCAGTTTACTCGCCCTTAAATGACGACCTAGCGCGGTGTGTCAAACATCGGCGCTGGAGGAGACGAAGCCTTGTGTATCCGTCGCTCGGCCTTACGTGCGAGGTATATTTTTTATATGCTTCCTGGAGTCGTGTAGTTCTGCCATTACGAGTACGGTACATTTCATGAAAGCGTGTCTAATTTTTTTTTTTAATATTACTTATTACGTTTGTTGTTGCAACGTTCTTACTCCGCGCCCCGATTGGACATCTGTGAAAAAGAGCTTCATGGCTCATCAGATTCCTCCTCCAGTGTAAACAAACGTTCTGATTCTCCGATTCTGATTCTTTATCTCTGAACACGGCGAGATTTAAAGGTCGCACTGGAAGGGCTGCACGAACAAATGAACGTCACCTTGTTCGTCATGCGAAGTCTGCCTTGCAACAGTACAGTGCTGTTTTTATCCTATTGAAACGATGACAAGGGCAGGACAAGCAGCATCGGGCAGAGTAACAACGGTGTCTGCGTCAGTGTGGCGGTTTTTCAACAGCCATCGATATCATACCATTAGCGCCGGTCTTGCCACTCGACTTGAAGTTTACATTTATTTTATTTTAGTTCGTCTCATTAATAGTGTGTATCATTTGGTTTGTCTCTCTAAACTGTGGTTCCTAAATATGTTATTGTTAGTCTTAATGTTATGGGAGAAACGCTTTGTCTGTGCCCTCCAGTTGCCTGGGTGAACTGCAGTTGGCTAAGTCTTGTCCAGCCCTGGCCAGATGGCTCTACAAGTCCATAAACAAAAATACAGATTCATAGAGATACATGGAGACGCATAGAGATACATAGAGACTCAGAGTTGGATAGAGACTCATAGAGATACATAGAGACTCAGAGATGCATAGAGGCTCATAGAGATACATAGAGACTCAGAGTTGGATAGAGGCTCATAGAGATACATCGAAACTCAGAGATGCATAGAGGCTCATAGAGATACATAGAGACTCAGAGATGCATAGAGGCTCATAGAGATACATAGGGATACATAGACTGGGTGAAAAGGTGGGCTAAGTTTTGCCCAATCTTGGCCAGCTGGCTTAAAAATGTATTCAACTAACGTACTAACGAATATCCTGCGGCTACTCCGGTACTGCATGCTGGTTGAGGTTAATCCGTGACTTTTGTTGTGCAGTCATTAAAACTTTTAACCGATTAGGCGGCGCTATGCTAAAAGTCAAAAGCGCATCACATTCCTACTCTCCGCCCTCTTGGTGCCTTGTGTGTCTGCTCTGTTTTCTTTTTCGACGTTCAATACCTTCCTTTTGCAATGTCGCTGTCTTTTGCGACGATTTTTCTTCAACACGTTTTCTGTTTTGATGCTGCTGTGACCCCCGTGATGGTCAATGCTGTTTCTCTCATGTTACTTGCCTCTCATGTGTCTCTGCTCTTTGCCATTCTAATGTCCGTCTCTCTTGCGAGTGTCTCCCTGCCGGTCTCGACCTCTCCTGTTAACATTTATGTCTCTTTGTCTCCCCTGTCTCTCTCATCTCTCTCCACGTGTCTCCTGCACTTCTCCCCTTCCCCCACCCGTGGTGTTTCCCCTGTCTCTCTCATCTCTCTCCACGTGTCTCCTGCACTTCTCCCCGTGGTGTCTCCCCTGTCTCTCTCATCTCTCTCCACGTGTCTCCTGCACTTCTCCCCTTCCCCCACCCGTGGTGTTTCCCCTGTCTCTCTCATCTCTCTCCACGTGTCTCCTGCACTTCTCCCCGTGGTGTCTCCCCCGTGCCTTCGCTTCCCCTGTCCGCTTCCCTCCCTTTCCTGCCCATTTCCACCTCCCTCGTTCCTCAAAACCGCCGCGGCCGACCGGCCCGGCGCGACCGGCAAAAAACCGCGACGCCAAAACCAAAACGTAACTAAACGCGCGCAAAAACTCGCACGAAGGCCCGCCGGCGGCCGCGCCGTCCTGAGCGGGGAGGCCCTGCGGGCGGCGGCGGCGGCGCACCCCCACACTCCCCCGCCGCACATCGTCGGCGTGGGCGCGATGCTGGGCGGGGGCGCCAGCGTCGCCCTGGCGCAGTACAACACGCCCGTCCTGCTGTACTCGCGGGACGCCATTGCCAACGCTGTCGCCGGGCAGGCCCGGGCCATGGGCTCCGAGATCGCCGGGTATTTGTGACACGTTCCGAACGGGGGCGGCGCTTTGTTCGACGATGGGCAACCCGGACTAACTATGAACTGTTTTGTACTTTGCCGGGCAAGGCCCGCCGAACTGCGTAGCTCTTTGTCGGAAGCGACGCGGCCACAAGGGATAGCTCGACTAAGTGGCTTGTCACGGGGAAATTTATAGCGGCCAAATAGTCTGAACGCTTGGTGATGTGGATTCTAGATGTGGAGGGAAAAACCGGAGGACCCGGATTAAAATCCACGTGACCACGGTAAGAACACGCAAACTACAAATGTACAGCAGGCGTTGGGGTCGGGATCCAACCCGTGACCTCTTGCATACCAAGCGAGGTAGTAAACATCTCGCCACCATGGCACCAAGATGAGTTGGTGGGTCACCATGAGGCGGCCGTACTTCACCTCGGTGGGCTAATCAGAATCAGGATCTTTGGTTATCCTGGAGAAATCCGATGAGCTATGAAGCTCTTTGTCACAGAGCTCCTGTATTGGACGGGGTCAGCAAGTTACAAACATGAAAAAATACGAAAATTATTTTACATAATGGTAAGCAGGTCCCGAAATCTAAGTTTATCAAGATTGGGCAAGGCAGTAGAATCAACAACTCAACAGTGCCAGTCCACACCAAGGTAACAACAAAGCAGTCGTCCCTCAACAGAATGGCACCTGACCCCACGCATCGCCCTCGACACACCTAGGCTAGGCCACCATAAGGGACCCTGCAGGACACGGGTTGCCCACCACAGCTGTAGACGACGAGAGAAGGCCACGATCATGCAAGTACAGTCTGTTCTGCCATAACGCGGTAGTAGTAGTTGTTGTTGTTGCGTTCCTGAAGAACACCGTGTTATGGAAAAATCGCGTTACTGTGAATAATACATAATATAGTATATGTAAAGCACAGTCCACGATGACACGTGAGATGCGTACGCAGGCTGAACAAAGACGGAGGCGCGTGGGTAGCATCCAGAAGCATCCAGCAGCATCCCGCCACCTTGTGCGACGCTACGCCGAGGCAGCCGTACAACCGCTTATTCCTACTCGTAGTTCCGTTCACTCGATCGCAATGTATATCCAATTGGCATCCGCGTCATAAAAAATGCGCTCCCCTGTGCATTCATTGCGTTTATATCCAAATTTACGTTACGAAAACACGCAGCGTCATGCGATAACAAACTGTGCTACACTGCATGGATGCAATGCTCTCAGCCTTGTCCACACCACCAGCGCTCTCCCAGAGGGCTACGCGAGTCCGTCCGTATTATTGCTTGGATCAACGGACTCGAAGCATTTGAAACTGTGACCGTCCCGACAAGCAGCAGTGAGGCCAGAGACGACTGCGGACGGTTGTTGTTGTTGTCCATCATTACGACTCCGTCGGTCATCGATTTGTGTGCGCGCGCCAGAAATGTTTTTGAATCGCGGCAGATTTTTTTTCTCCCGTCGCCGATAAATTTGCCAGTCGGCCGACGGTCGGATTCGTTTCTCCGCCTGGGAAAATAATGACAGTGGGTTTGTGCATTTAGGTTTTCACGCAATTCTGAGAGTGCAAGGCTATCACGTAGAGGATATGTTTCACAGACGAGCATAGTCTGCCGGTAGGCGGCGATGTTGCGACGTGGTCGATTAAGTAATTGCCCGCTAATGTTTCCAATTTGCCAAAATTGTAAACGGCGACACCGGCACACACGGCCCCCAAAAACGTAACGGGATCTTGAACGTCCCTCTGTGAAGCAGATGCGGGCCGTGTTTAGTGGTTCATGCACGCCGCCGCAGTATTAACCAGGGAGGCCGCTGGGCTCAAGCCGCGAAACCTCTGCAACGAGCGGCGAAGGCGCCACCTCTCGGCCACGTCACAGCCTCGTTCCGTCCGTCAGCACGTGCATGAGTGTGCGCGTCCGTCTGTTCGTCCGTCCGTCCACAGCACGTGCATGAGTGTGTGCGTCCGTCTGTCCGTCAGCACTTGCATGAGTGTGTGTGCCCGCCTGATGACATCTAAACGTGCTTTCACGAAAAAACTAAAACCCGAAACTAAACGGAGCTCCTCGCCGTCCAGACGCCTGGCTGAAGAAGCGTGCATGCCCACGTGTGCGTGTGGCTTCCTGCGCCGCGTGATTATCGCCTTGTAAGCCTCCGCTTCTCCGTGTCTTATCGCTGTCATGTTTAAGCCGCCACTTGAGGGTGGCGCTCTCGTTTCCTTTCTGTCCCCTCCCCCACCCCTGTGTCTCTTCCCCCGCCTGTCCACGTTCCCCACCGCTTTGCCCTGCCTGCCGCTTTCTGCCGTCGGATGATTTCCTGTTGCTGGCCACTCCATTACCTCGTCCTCCTGATCCTGCTGCTGTTGCCGCCGCTGACGACGATCATACGATGATGATGATGACGCTGACAACGATCGTCGTCATCGCTGCCCCCCCCCCTCCCCCTACCCCGCTCAGCGATGGCGATGCACCGAGCCCGTGAGTCACCGCGTGCCAACGCCTGGGCGTCAAAGCGCGCGCGCTGCGAACGGAGGTTCAATTTTCTTGGTTCTTTCGGTAAAGTCACGTAGAATGTAAATAATAAAATAATAAAGATAAAACATAATAAAATCATTCTCACGACGTTTCGGCCACAACGCAAGCAGCCGTCCTCAGGTAGAGAACAGGTGAGGACGGCTGCTTGCGTTGTGGCCGAAACGTCGTGAGAAATATTTTATTATGTTTTATTTTTATTATTTCATTACTTCCATTCTATGTGACTTTACCGAAAGAACCAAGAAGATGAATTCCTGCAGTCACGAAAGCTTTAAATCGGAGGTTCAATTCTCGCGCCCCGACGTGTTCCCGTGCGCCCTTCGGCGCGGTGCCTGACGCTTCGCACGCCGTGCTGGGCGCTTCCTCGGTGTTCAGTTCCTGAAGAAGCTCCCGGCAGGTGGAGCGAAACGCGGGACACTGTGCCAAGCAACACGCAGTGCGACCCGAAAGCACTTTTGTAGCCAATGGGTAAGAGCAGAATCTGGCAGCACCTGAAGTAGCAGAACTCTAGGCCATGCCGATCTACTTACACAGCCATTTCTTCATGACCGAATCGTTTCAAATGGTTATCGTGTAATTCACCGTTGCTGGCCAACATTGAGGGATGATAACCCGGCACCAGCAAGGGAACTCTCTCTCAGGCCCTGGGCTCGCGGACTCACCAGGAGTGCTATCCAGCGCAACGACAAACAGCCTACGTGGTAGAGATTAAATTGGCATTGCCACTGGCCCGGACTCACCTGGTGAGCGTGCCCTTGCGCGTATTGGCCCAGAGGGCATAACGATTTACACCCACACCCCGTCCCCCCTTGAGATTTTGACGAGTGTCAAGATTCAAGGTCGCGATTCGGTTGTACCCTTGAATCAAATCTACTTTGTCTGACTCCAGCGACCGCTAGTGGCGTGTAGGGGGTCACGTGCAAGAATAGAAACGTCGGAGAGCCGTTTGGCGGTTGCCCCCGCGATTCTATGTGCGCGTCGCGGGCTTAAGCACCGAGCGTGCACGCCGCCTTTTGCGTATTCCTGAGCCCGCGCTCCCCACCCAGTTGTGTTCATGTGCGAGTTGTAGCGTTGTTGAGTTTTGCGCGCAAGGCGTGTACGCGCGTGGCGTTTGTCGATGTCCCCGGCTGCGTGTGTGGCGCCGCACGTGTGTGCGCTTCTGGCCGCTGCGGAAGCAATGAAACGCTGGCTTCAGTCGACTGGCTTATCCGGACTACTTCCAGGAGTGGGATTTTACTCCATGCTACCGTTGTCATGCGTTTAAGACCATCTTGTGTATGTCAGTGTGTGTGTGAGCGAGTGCGTGTTTTTATATGCGGTGGTGGATTGCACAAGCGTATTGCGCTGCAAACCCGGAGGTCCAAGTTAATTTAACCGCCATGGCTAACATCAGTGGCAAGTGTAAACGGAACCTCTTAAGGACCTCCCCTCGGTCGACTCGGCCTCAAATGAGTACCTGGTTCGGTGTGTGAACATCGCCAGTGGGGGAGACAAAGGCGGCCGGGCGTGGTGCTTTGCCACCCGCCTCCCTTTGCGTGCCGTGCCGGCCTTCATAGGTGCTCGCTGAACAGCACTTGCCCCGACAGTCCGTTAAGGCTACACGGGGGAGGTGCAATCTTTGTGTGCGTGTCTGCGCGTGTCCGCGCGTGTCTGCGCGTGTCTGTGCGTGTCTGCGCGTGTCCGCGCGTGTCCGTGCGTGTCTGTGCGTGCCTACGCGTGTCTGCGTGTGTCTGTGCGTGTCTGCGCGTGTCTGCGCGTATCTGCGTGTGACCGCGCGCTTTTCCGACCAGCGGCCCGCCCAAGGAGGTGGTGGTGGACACGAGCACGCCGGTGTTCCAGGCGGTGGCGCGCCGGGAGGCGACGGCGCGTGGCGACGGCCCCAGCACTGCCGACGAGGACTGGGCCAACAAGAACAGCACGGCGCAGTCGCGCTCCTTCAAGATCCTCGCGCAGATCACCGGCACGCACGACGGTGCGTGCGCGTGAGGGTGTGTGTGCGTGTGTGTGGTGAGTGGTAGTGCAGCGGTTTAGCGCGCTGCGCTACGAACCCGGCAACCCGAGTTCAATTCGTGCACATGGGCCGTTATCTGAATCGGTGCAGGGCCTCCCCAAGGTTGACTCGGCCTCAAATGAGTACCTGGTGCAATGTGTAAACATCGCCACTAGGTCGACAAAGGTGGCCAGGTGTGGTACTGGCCACCCACTCCCTCGTGTGCCATGCCGGCCTTTGTAGGTGCTCGCTAACAGCACTTGCCCCCACAGTCTGTTAAGGCTGTACGGGGGATCTTTGTCTTCGTCTGCAATGTTTAGCGCGCTGCGCTACGAATCCGGCGAGCCGAGTTAGATTTCCGCTCACGGCCAAAGCCGGTGACGATTATCTTAACCGGTCCTGGGCCACCCTAGGTCAACTCGGCTGCAAATGAGTACCTGGTGCGGTGTGTGAACATCGCTACTGGGGAGACAAAGATGGCCGGGCGTGGTGCTGGCCACCCACCCCCTCGTGTGCTTCAACCTTGCTCCCTTGTCGACTTGGGCCAATATAATTCCACATTCAGATAAGCCCCTCCCCCCTTAACTTGTATTTAAGGGCTGGTCTCTTGGAATTTTGCCTCACTTGATGCAGTAATTTTAGCTGTCACGGTCCCACCTGATGACGGAGACTTGTGTTGTCTCCGAAACGTCGTGATTTATTAATTTATTTTATTTTTATTAATACTTTTAGTAATTTTATTTTTTACCTACGTGACTTTACCGAAAAAGAAAAAAACCTAAGAGTATGAATCCTTGCAGTCACGGAAGCTTCAAATCTAGAATCAGTATAATTCCATTGTACATTCTCCCCGGTGCCCTATAAACGTTCGCATTAATGGAAACATTTTTTTTGCTGCCCTGCTTTTTTTTGCAGAGGAGGCTGGTGAACTGGAGCCCGTGGAAATGACCAGGTAAGGGTCGCGTGACGAAACGTCGCCTGGCCCATGTCCACGCGCCCACCCGCGTCGCCACCCGCAGAGTGGTCTCCTCCCGCGGGGTCACTCCGTGACACCATGTTGCACGGAACATTAATAATATCATCATGTCAGGAGTATCTTCGCTTATTCTATTGCGATTTAAATGCCCTTTGGTTCCCGACGCAACGTACGTGAAGTTGCAGCCTCGGTCGTTGCATTTTTAGATAAAAAGCTGCCGTCTATTAAATCCGTGCTTTGCAAAGCGTTATCCAGGGCAATTGTTAAAAAGGACGATATCATGAATTGAATTGTTTAATCCGCGCATAACTTGACCGCATCAGCGTCGCGGGTTGTCAAGCGGCAATCGGCAGAAAACTTATGGCAAGGTTGTCATTGAGGCAACTGCAGTTGAAGAGCTTTTATCCAAGTCGTCTTTATTCGTACTGCATGCACAGCAACATTGCAAACTACACTCACAGAGTTACGGGAAACGGCCGTTGAGTAAATCCTAACGCTCTTGTCAAAATTTGTTATCTTATGAGGATTTTCAAAGGCGCTTTACAGCAATTGTGAAATTGTACATAGGGTGATCATGATTTGAGGTGAAGGATTGGGTTTCTGTAAGTGGCGAAGTAGTTTTAACGACAGTAGAACAAGGAGGGATTGATAAGGTGGGGGTTTGGGATAGGCCGTAACTAGGGGGGGGGGGGGTACCTCAGCGGCGAACCTGCTTGTGTAACGAGCGAAACTGCCCGCTCTCCCCGCCCCCCACAATTCCGCGTGCACGCGCACGCCTCAAAAAGCCACAGCCGCTCCTCCCGCGCAAAGAAGCACAGGTCGCGCAAATCCCGGGCCAACTACGCCAGCAGCAGCGACGCGGACGATCGGAAACCGCCGCGGAACTCGAGGAAGGGCGACGTTCCCGTCAACGGGCCCCGGGCCCCCGACAGCGGCAACGCCGCCAGCGCCAAGCGGTCGCGCGTCGCCAACAAGGGGCACTCGGTGCGCTTCGAGGAGAACAGCAAGGGATCCGTCGTGGACGCGGCAAGCACCGGAGCGCAGAAACAGCAGCAGCAGCAACAGCAGCAGCAACAGCAGCAGCAGAAGGCGCCGAAAGAGAAGCCCAATGGGCCTGTGACGAAGCCTGTGGCCTACCCTCGTCGCGCGAACTCGTCCGTGTCCGCGTCCCCGATCCGGCACGTGGAGCCGTCGCGCCGCCGCTCGTCGGCAGGCTCCTCGCTGTCGGCCTGGGGGGGGGCTGCCCCCCCCTCCTACTCCTTCTTCTTGTCGTTGGGCGCCAAGCCGTCGGTCGCGTACCCCTTCTCTCCCGCGGCCTCGCCCCCGTCACGTTCCTCCACACCTGCTCCTCCTTCTCCTCCTGCTGCTGTTCTACCTCCACCTCCTCCTCCTCTTCTACTTCCTGGTGATGGAGCATCTCTGGCTCCCAGGAGCCTTGTGGGCGCTGCCCCGCAATGCTCCCCTTCCTCCTTCTCCGCAGCCACGCAACCTCGCTCCCTCGCTTCCTCCAACTCCCCCGTGAGGTAAAACACCTTCTGCCTCTCGAACGAAATGTCGATATTTTTTGCGTCTCTCTCGTGCGTCCTTCGGCTCTGGTGTCGCTGTCGCTCAACTGATTAGATGGCCCGGTTGGCGCGTTTGGCTGCGTGCGGTGCGAAATAAGTTCAACATACATACACATGTGTGCATCACACGTTGTGCTTGCTTTTTAACGAAACATTATTCTAATGGATAGAAGCTCATTTAACATGTACGTTTTTTCCATATTGATATCTGCATGCCTCGTGACCCGGCACTTTTATATCACGCCTAAGAAGTTGGGACATTAAACAATGTTAAGTCCTGGCATCTCACACACTTGCGGCCAGTTGCTTCAGCGGAATTTACAACGTTGCTTTGTAATCTTTGTGATTTTTGAATGACCGTTTCACCTCATATTTTGATACCCTTCTGCGACCATCCAGCATGCTCTCCCTTGACAACTCATTTCTTTCGAACCGCTTTTTGTGTTTAGTTTGTTGTCCTTTCCCGGGACCTCTGTTCAGCGTGGTCGGCTACGCACGGTGCAAAAGAAATTCACCACGCGCGCACGCACGCACGCACACACCCACCATGCACCGTAGGTCGCAACGTTCCAATTCCTCGTTTCCTCAATCTGTTCGGCCTTCGACCTTCCTCCCATTCCTCGCTCTTGCCACGTTCCCGTAACTTGGCAAGAGCGAAGACCGGTCGGGTGGTGGAGGGTTGCGACACATTTATATTCGCGCGACCTTTGTTATGAACTTTGCTCAGTGCGAGAGCGTGCGTTCTCTCGCCTGTTCGTGGAACCCGCCCGTCACCTGGTTTATCGACGTTTTCCCGATAACTTTCCTCGATTCAAGAAACACCCTCGTACCTCCTCGCCTGCTGTGCGATCGCTTGTGCTCTCTGCGTCGCTGGCTGCTTTGTGTTGTTGACGACTTTTTAAAACGCCTGAGCAGGAGAATCCACCGTGAAGGAGGTTTTTTGTGTGACCTGCTGTTGGGTTCAGTCGCCAGGACATAAACTATGGGGACCCTTTGTTTGCAGAATTAAGATGATAAAAATACACACAAAAAACCCTTTCTGGCAATAACACAGGTGCGATAGGTGTCTACTCGGTGTTTTAACATCTTAGCACCTGAACTTGATTTGGAGCTTTCGTGACTGCAGGAATTAATCTTTGGTTCTTATTGCCAGAAGTGGTGAAGCCCTTGATGATTATGTTTGTATCAGTAAGGACACCCACGCGTATCGCTGCCTCGCACGGTGCCGCTCGGCTCATGGAGGTTTGCCAATTCGTCGATGGCGACCGTGTCCCTACGCTTGCGATAGGCGCTGCGGTGGCTGGGAGATGTTAACTACCTCGCCTGGTATCGCCCGGTGCTTACCGACGTCTTCTGCTGCGTCTCCTCTGTGCCTCTTGTTTCTCTCCCTTTTCCCTCCTGGTTTTTTTTTCTCTTCTGCATCCACCTGCCTGCCCGACCGCCCTTCACATCGTTAGCTGGACGGCACAGAGCTCCACCGTAAGGACAAACTCGTCGGTTTCATCTCGAGCCGTGACTGGCTCGCAGCTGGCTAGCGCACGTGCTACGATCCGGGCTGCCCTGTCCGGCCAGAGCGGGTACACTCCCCCCGCCTCTTCACCCCCCTCCCTCTTCACCCCCCATCCCCTCTTCACCCCCCATCCCCTATACCCAACTCTCTACCCTCCACACTCCAAAATCCTTCCCTGTGTGTCCCCATCCCATCGAGAAGTTCCGTCCGCGCTTTGTGGCCAGATGTTAGGGAGTTCTAACAAAACCCACGTCCGTCACTCTCACACCGCCTTTGGACATTTGTAATCGGCCGATGTGTCGGGTGATGGCCCCTTGCAGCCGGAACACAATCGCCGGCCTTGATCGATTCGCCGCCGGTCGAAGGTATCGTCAAAAACGCTCCGCAGCGCGAGAGCGTCAATTGAAAAAAATTCCCACCGATATTCTCACTTCTTCTCTGACTCGACTCGTTTCCACTTTTTCTGTTTTCCGTTTTCTGTGACCTGTTTTGTTTCTCTTCCGTTTCCTCCTCAAACCCCTTCCCACCGGGCACCTTCACTTGCCGCACTGTCGCTCTCGCGCATTCCTCTCTCGCCGCGGTGGCGGCGGCGGCGGCGGTGATGGCGGTGGCGGCGGTGATGGTCCAGGCTTCCCAATGGGCCTCCTTCGCCACCACGGCCCCAGTCGGCGCTCGAAGCGCTTCATCTCTCGCCGTCGTTTGGGCCTCCGCGAGTTCTGCCCAGACCCACCGCTCGGTCGCCACGTTTCGGTGCCCACACCGCTGGGCCCAGGTACACGAGGAGGAGAGTGGGAGGGGTGGGGGGCCCTTACGTCACATCGAGGAAGCGACAAACATCAACAACAACAAAACAACAATGTAACACGAAAGACAACGCGCAGCAGCACGTGGAGTCTAACCTATGAGCACGAACGTTGCAGGCTATTTAACCTTTCCAGACCATTTCCGTGAATGAAATCCATTTGTGTTTATGTGGCACACTTTGCATCAAGAAATTCTGCACACAAAAAACAACTGGACTTGAATGCCCCCAACGCTTACAGTGTATAAGTGTACGAGACATTTAGTTTAAAATAGCAAAGCGATGTGCCCTCAACTCCATAACTTCAACTGACATTTCTGACTAACTTTTGCTGCGTTTCAATTATAGCTATTTAACTGAGGTGTTTATGCAGCTGTGCGCAGAGGCTGGTACGGACGAAACTGGGAAAGGGAAAAACATGTCCAATACAATTTAGCGCGAAAGGTTATACATTTGGTGACGGCACTTGCCCCAGCAGTCTGTTGAGGCTTTACGGGGGAGGGGATCTTTGTCTTTAGTAATAGGTTTTTACCCTTTCAACTGGTACAAAAACGGATACCTTTATACAAGGGATCATGTTTGCAATAACCACAACACAAGCAGTCAAAATGCAAACAAAAAGAAACAACTCTGATAATGATATGCACTGTCCTTGAAGTTGATTGGTCCACACCCGAGACAGCGTTTCTTAGAGCCTAGTCTCCATTGGTGTTGGACCAGATGACGCCATTGCAAACATGATCCCTTGTATAAACGTATCAGTTTTTGTACCAGTCGAAAGGGTAAAAACATATTACTATATGTTGCCACTGGTAAAGGAGATGTCTCATAGTATAATCTTTTGTCTTTGTGCATGAATGTTTATAATCCCCCTCCGCAGCAGGGACGAGCCTGTTCCCGTCGCCACGGCGACCATGTCGGTGAAGACGTCGACTCGGAAGCCCCCCGGGACTACGACGGGGCCCCCCAAACCGACGGCCGAGCCCATGGGCCCCCCACCGCCCTCCGTCAAGGCGCACACCGCTCCGCCGCAGGTCGTTAAAACCGCAGGTACGAATGTACGCACAAAGGCAAAGGTCACCCGTGTTGCGTTCGCAGGCTGCCCCGGGGCAAGTGCTGTTCAAGTTCATTTATTAGGTTTAGCCCTGTGAGCCATTCGGCTCTTGAATCGGGTGCAACCGCAACAAACAAAACACAAAAACACGAACAAAAAAACATCTTAAAGTGAATATGCGACTAAGTGCAAACAGAAAATCCAAGAAAAGACGGCAAAATATTGCAGAAAAAAATCACCGTACACCAACGCTGTGTGCAAAAATCCCAGTGGGATGCAAGTCAAACAACCAACAACAACCACAAGACAACTTAGTTTTCGATTTAAAGCTTTCGTGACTGCAGGGATTCATCTTCTTGGTTCTTTCAGTAAAGTCACGTAGAAGGGAAAAAAATAATAATAATAAAATAATTCTCACGACGTTTTGGCCACAACGCAGCCATCCTCAGGTGAAAACCAGGAATGTCGGGGAGACAGCGTCTGACGCTGTCTCCCCGACATACCTGAGGACGGCTGCTTGCGTTGTGGCCGAAACGTCGTGAGAATTATTTTATTATGTTTTATTTTTATTATTATTTTATTATTTCCCTTCTACGTGACTTTACCGAAAGAACCAAGAAGACAACTTAGATTAAGGCCATCAGCGCCCCTGAAGGGCCCCCACTGTGGCACACGAGGGGGCGCTGTGGCGAGCACCACGCCCGGCCACCCATGTCTCACCCTGTGGCGATGTTTACACACCGCACCAGGTACTCATTTGAGGCCGAGTCGATGGTATTGGTGGCGAGATGTTAGCTGCCTCGCCCGGTATTCAGTAGGTCGTGGATTCAATCCTAACTCTGCCTGCCGCCTCTATATATATTTGGAGTTTGCATCCAGTTTTTCGCTCCGCATTAAGAATCATGATTTTAGTGTTTGTCCGCTATAAATTTCCACGTGATAAGCCATTTCGTTAATCTATCTTTGGCCAGGTCGCCTCTGAAAAAGAGTTGTATAGTTCAGTGGGCCTTACTTGGTAGAATTTTTTTTTAGTTTTATATATCGTTGTAGTTGTGGTGGTGTCGGTGCCGGTAGTGGTACTTAATGGTAGGCAGCAAGCAATCGTCATCGTCACTCTTGATCGTTTTCATTCACTCGGAGTCATCGGTGATTAAAATATTTTAAAAAACCCCACCCCTTCGGTAACTGTTTCCTTTACCAATAGTCATTGTTCTCGAGTAAGGCGAACTCGAATACACGCAGCAGCAAGGTGCAGTAGCGGATAGAGGTCACGAGGGGGCGCAAGAGGATCACCATCGCTGCTCTTGCAACCCAGGACGCAGTCCCGGACACCGGACACGCATCCAGTTCTTTGGTTCTTTCGGTAAAGCCACGTGGGTAGAGATATAACAGATCACGACGTTTCGATCGCAACACAAGCGATCGTCGTCAGGTGGGACAAACACAGCAAGATCAAGCAGCTGAAGTAGTTTTTTTCTGCTGAAGTCGCTTTTTCTAGCTGCGGTTGTCCCACCTGATGTCTTGTGTTGCGATCGAAACGTCGTGATTTATTTTATTTTCTACTCTACGTGACTTTACCGAAAGAACCAAAGAGTATGGATTCCTGCAGTCACGAAAGCTTCAAATCAAGACGCATCCACTTGCCATCGAGCGTCTTGCTTACGGCCTCGGCACGCGGTTGTTTTTAAAAGCCGCATTTACATTCGGCACTCTCGGTTGACAGTGGCTGCGATCGCGGTTGGTTCCTTTATGATCACAGTGGCTGTGGTGATAACGGTGGTTGTGGTCATGAAGGTGGTGCCAGCGGTGATTTGAGGTTGTGATGGGCACAGCTGTGCCACTCGTAGTGGTATGGGGAGCAGCAGCTCAGCGGTCGGCGCAACTGCGCTGCAAACTCTGCCGCCCGAGTTCGAGTCCTGCTCACGGCCAACACCGCCGACAAATCTTTGAAACGGACCGAGGACTCCCATAGGTGGACTTGGCCTTAAACGAGTACCTGCTGCGGTGTGTAAATATCGGCAATGGGGAGACAAAGGCGGCCGGGCGTGGTGGTTGGCTATCCATCCCCTCGTATGCTCTGCCAGCCTGGCTACATGCTCACTAACAGCACTTGCCCCAACAGTCTCTGTAAAGGCTACAAGGGGGATCTTTGCCTCTGCTACTGGTAGTGGAGTCGATGATGGTTGTGATAAGATGATGCTGGCGGCCGTGGTGGTGACGGCTGTAATAACGACGACAGTGCTGGCGGCGGTGATGTCGATCGCGATGATAACGTTTGCGATGAAGATAGAGCTGCTGGTGGAGATGGTGATGTAATAATGATGATGCCACTGATGATGATGAAGGGGATGTTAATTAGTTGTGATGACTATGCTGCTGCTGCTGGTGATGATGGTGGTGGTGGTGTGGGGAGCGGTGATGTAGCGGTTAGCGCGCTGCGCTACAAACCTGGTGACCCGAGTTTGATTCTTGCTCACTGCCAACAGAAGTGACGATTATCTGAACCGGTCCTGGGCCTCCCCTAGGTCGACTCAACCTTAAATGAGTACCTGGTGCGTGGTGTGTAAACATCGCCACTCAGGAGACAAAGGCGGTTGGGCGTGGTGCTGGCCACCCACCCCCTCGTGTGCCGTGCCGGCCTTCATAGGTGCTACTCTCTAACAGCACTTGCCCCAAACAGTCTGTGCAGGCTGTACGGGGGCTCTTTGTCTTTGGTGGTGGCGGCGGTTGTTCTGGTGAGCGAGAGGTCAGAAATGCGGCCCCCGCCCCCCTCTCTCCCCCCCCTGACCCGCAGTGAAATTATCTTCGGCAGATGTCACGGGTGGAAGGAAACGCGATACGCGCTCACGTTGAGTGAGAGAGGGGGGAGCCCGTCACGCATTTGTCACGCGTTGCAAAACCGCAATCGTCTTTGCCAGGCAGGGTGGACGATCACCCAACTATCATAGCGGCTGTCGGAGGTGGCAGGTCGTTGCTTTGTCCGTCCCACATTCTCGTAGCGAACCACATGACTCTGGCAGCAGTTGCTGGTCGTTTTAAAAAAAGAGAAAAGTAATGACCCAGGCTCTCTCTTGCAAATTACATCAGCAACGTGACGGGGCTAACAGCTGGTCAAGTGATTTCAACCATGCTTGGGCCTTATATAAATATATTATTTATAATTAATGTTACATCCTGGTTGCGCGATCGGAGTCGTGACGTGAAGAAGAAGAATTGCCCGCGTTGGAATTCTCGCTGCTGGCAGCACAGCTGGGAATGGCATCACGTCTCGTGAGGGGAGGGGCCAGCCCCTCCCCCGACACCCCCCCCCACCCCACGTAAGGGTGGGGAATCCAGCCGCCACCGCCTGCCAGGTGACTTCTCAAAGCCACGTGACTTCTCAAAGCCACGTGACTTCTCAAAGCCACGTGACGACCGCCGTTGTTTCGAAACGAGACCCCGTGGCCGTGCCGTGGGGCCGGTGCTTGGTCCACACGAGCAGCCTCGGTGGTGTGCGATAGTCGCATCATGAGCGTAATGATCATCGTGCCCGTGCCTGCTCAGCAGTGGTGGCACGACACTCCCGCCACGGCTATTACGAACCTCCTAACCCAGCTTGGGGAAATAAAGGACATTGACTGGAGGCGTTAAGAGGTCCACGCCTGCCATTCGGCACTGTGGAGGAGGCGAGGGTTGGCAGATCGCACACAGATTCGTGTTAAATCCCCCCCTTGCCCATGGGCGTCAACGTAACCGTCTCCTGGCTTGCCAGGGTACGATTTCAGTACAGCAAGTAGGTTATATCCACCTGGCCAGGAATTGAGTCTTACCCCCTCCCCTCTCCACCGAGGAATTTCTCTGGCTACTGGGGTTGCCTCTCACAGGTACCCTCGCTCGTTTACAAAGATGTCCAAACACCCAAACGTAGGACCGCAGAGCTCGGGAAAAAAAATGTCTTCTCGGTCGTCTGTGGGTTTCCGATGCTTCCGAATCATTGTCTCACCCGTCCCCTCCCTCCGTCTGTCTCTCCGCGTGGGCGATCACGTGAAAAAAATTGACGCGCGTGTTTTACGCCCGTGCTTGACGCGCGTGTCGACGTGCGTGTCGACGTGCGTGCTACGAACTCCTAACCGGCGACTGCGGTCCCGCCGTCCCGCCGGGTCCCTCTCCGCAGGGCTGTCGTGGACGCCCAACGGGGCCTCGGGCCGCCCCCCCCCCTCCTCCGCAGCGGCCGGCCCAGCCGCCACGGGCTTCGGCATCCAGGCCAAGACCAAGGGCCCCACGGGAGGCGCTCAGGAGGGCGTCGCTGCGGCCAAGGTGGGCTCGGCGGGCGGCGGTGGGGCCGCCGGCGGCGGCGGCATGCAGGCCGGGTGGGGGGCGCCCGGCAGCGGCCTCCTCGTGCAGAGGGCCGAGCACGTGCCCGAGGCCCTGCGCGCGCCCTTCTGCAACAAGTGCAACAACATCATCCGGTACGCTTCGCATGAAAGAGCAATATGGCTCGGTGGGCCTCACCTCGTAAAATAAGAAGTTTAGTTTGAAAAACACATTCCTGCGGTGTGTTCCGCAAATATGGCCGACTGTGAGGGCGGGCACAAGCCGGCGTGAGTAGGTAAAACGTTGAGTTTTATAAGGGCACCACGGGGTGACCAGCTCCTCCCCCACCCAGCCCCACCCCTCCCAACCCCCACCCAGCCCCATCATCTCCACCCAGCCCCACCCCTCCATTTTTGGATGTACGACGGACGGACACAATAATCCCCTGTGGGCTGGTGGAACCAGGTGGTTCCTACCAGTAATAGGTCAGTTGTAGTAACACGTCGTTCCTGTACAATGTCTAGAGATGATGCATCTCGTATTTAAGACGATCTCTAAATCTAATGTATTTTTATTATCATCGAAGGGTTTTCTTCAGACATAGTTCCCTTTACGCTTGTAAACTCCCACGCACGCCCCCTCCTCCCCCTCCTGCCCCCCCCCTACCCTGGGAAAGTTGACACGAACTGAAGGTCGTGCCTGGTTCACTATTTTAAATTCGTATTTTTTTTTCCTGTTCGTTTTGACATTTCCAACGTTGCGAAGAAGAAAAGATGACCAAAAAATGGCCCTGATAAATGACCGCACTTGCACGTGGTCTGGGCTGAACGTCGCAACGAATGTTCCATGAACGTCGCACGAGCATCGCACAGACGTCGAGCGGACATCGCATGAATGTCACGCTCCTCGATGGCCGTAGGTGTTACTTAAGGGCAGCGAACCCGGTCACCCCCCCCCCAGTGAATTATGTGCGGCACGTGTTTATGGTACGTGTTTATGGTACGTGGTTGCGGTACGTGGTTGCGATACGTGTCGCCAAGGCGCAGTTACACCAGGCAGCCACCGACAGTAAACAGCGGCTAAACGTTTAAAAGCCACGCACAAATCACCCACAAACCCTTGTTGGCGCGCTCCTGCTGTTTTTCAGAAAGGTTCTGTTACTCAATATAAACAAGTAAAATAAATACCGTTGGGTTAAAAATGTATTTGTTACACACATTTGCATTTGAAGCTTTCGTGACTGCAGGAATCCATACTCGCCTGATGACGATTGGTTGTGTTGTGATCGAAACGTCGTGATCGATTATGTTTTCTACCTACGTGACTTTACCGAAGGAACCAAAGAGTATTTACACACATTTGTTACATACATACCACGTGAAAACCCCTGTTTGGACGTCTTGAAGTAATTATGCATGACACCAGAGGACGGGATGAGTTTTAAGATAAGATAACCTCAAGCATTTGTAATACTGATAATTGATTTTTTACCCTTTTATCTGGCAACAAAACTTTTACAAGGAGTCATGTTTGCATTGACCACAATACCTGCAGTCGGAATGCAAACAAAATCATAACTCTGATAATGTATGCACTGTCCTTGAAATTAATTGGTCCACACCCGAGACAGCTTTCCTTAGAGCCTAGTCTCACATGGTGTTGGACCAGATGACGCCAAAAGGCGCACAACTCAAAGACAATGCGCCATCAGAGTATGAGAGCTCGGGGTAAGCATTTACACCATTTCAAGGACAGTGTAAAGGTGTCAGTTTTGTTGCCAGATAAAAGGGTAAAAAAACAATTATCATATTTTTCTACTGGCAAAGGAGGCTCCAATGATGTGTAATACTATTTACATTCCGAATTGTAAATGAATCTCACACGCCCGGTCCATTGCATGTAACGTGAGTGTAATATTGGACTTTGTAAAATATATTTATCCCAGTTGTGCTATCCGGGGTGAACTCGTGAAATGAATATCCATTCAAAGGCGTCAGAGCCGTGCATCTCTTCAGATCATAGAGCGCTTCCAGGGAAAGGGACACCACAGAACTACTTCTGAAAGTCTCGTGTATGTATTGCATGTTGAACTTCTTTCGCACCGTACGTAGCCAACCGTGCTAATCGGAGGTGCGGGGGAAGGACAACAAACTAAACACAAGAAGCAGTTCTCAAGAAATTAGTTTTCAATCTGGATGATTTAAAAGTGCATAGCTCCAGTGGCTTCCTGATATCGGAAGGAAGAGCGTTCCAGGCGGCCGTAGAAGCGCATCAGAAGCACGCAATGCAGTGACCGTCTTTGTTCGAAGGCTAGCCATAAGCCACTGCGAAGATGACTGGAGTTCGCGTGATGGTTTACGCTCCTTGATGAGATCAGCAAATTAACTCCACTCCATGCAGCACTTGCGCAATCTCCCTGCCACCGAGAGTAGCGCATAAATAACGCCCCGTCTTCCTGATCCCAATGTGGCACAAAGAACCACGTTATTTTGGTTTTATCGGTGCGTGCTTCCCTGCTATCACGTACGGTTCAGAAACGCGGTCATTCACCACAAATGTAGAGCAAATACTGAAAATGGCGCAAAGAAGCGTGGACAGATGCATGCTGGGAATTACGCTGAGAGACTAAAAGTGAGATTCGTGAAGAAAATAAACGCAAGTTCGAGCTGTCGTTCTATCCGTTGGGAAGAGTGAGCGGGCTCGGGCAGGACGTGGCGTCGCCAGTAAGAGAGGGGTCAGTCAAGGAATCGAACTCTGTCCGAGAGTAACATCCACTGGGTAGATGGAGAAATGAAATTGGTTCACGCTCAGCCGCTCGGTGGATTCCTTACATCGCTGGACCGTGAGCGGTGGCGTTGTTGACTTGGGCAGGGGTGGGAGTGTGCGGCTTGTGTGTACGTGTATTTTTATTTTGACCAGGTAAGGCCCACTGAACTGTGTAGTTCTTGTTCAGAAGCGACCCTGGCTCTCACAAACGATAGCTCACCGAAGTGGCTTATCATCGCGTGAACATTTATAGCAGCCAAATACTCCAAACGCACGTTTATAAATGTGAAAGGAAAAAAAACGGAGAAAAAAACCACGTGACCACGGGGAGAATATGCAAACTCCAAATATACAAGAGTCAGGGTCGGCATCGAACCCACGACCTCCTGTATACCAGGCGAGGGAGTTGGCGTCTCGCCACCATGGCACCTTCATCCAGCAGTCGATTGACCACGGATGATGATGATGATGTTTGAGGGAAGCGGCTTTGTCCGTTGCGTACGGAGCGCCCTCCGTCAGGACGGGGGCTCCTCGCGCGCTTTTGGCCGCGTTCCCCCGCTCCCCTACGCGGCGGTGCGCAAGTACAGACGGCCATTGTTCACGCGTCACCCGGGGAGCGATGACGAATAGCGAGAGGGGGGGATCACGGAGCCGCGAGGGGAAGGGGGGGAAAACGTAGCGGGAGTGGGCGGGCAGGCAGGCCATGGGAAGAAGTCCCGCGTGCTTGGCAATCGATGGCAGCCCCCTCCTCCCGCGTTGTGCTATCGGCGTCGCACATCGCTGGACAAAGCATCGGCTCCCCGCAGAGCGGTGCAGCCCGTCGTGCTGGAGATGGGCCCGCGGAACCGGATGTCACAGAGCTGCCTCCGAGAGCCAATCCACGTGACCTCTGGGTCCACACAGTCGGGAGCGACACTTTCCCGCCCACCCACCTCGAGAGTCATTTTTGAGCACGATTGTTTTCGATTTTGGAGGCAAGGGTTGGTGGGTCACATCTGGATTTGTGACTCTCCATCTTAACCTGCTTGAGCTTGCAAGGTGGCCACGCAGCAGCACAGCGAGTGGCAGAGGTCGCAACCGGGTACCCGATACCCATACCCGGCTACCCGTACCCAGACGGGTACTGGTACCCGTTTGCGACCCTGGTGCGGCCGGGTACGGGTACGGGTAGACCGTGAGTCACCGGTGAGTAACCGTTTGTCACTCATTTCGGGTAGGGTACGGGTAGCGTACGGGTACCCGTACCCGTTTGCGACCCTGGTGCGGCCGGGTACGGGTACGGGTAAGAAATCAAAACCCGTTTGCGACCTCTGGCGAGTGGGTTCATTCACCAATCTCTGCGGACCTGTCAACGTCATCGTCCCCATGCATGCGTCCAGGTTGGGTTTTCTCTGGACGAGTACAGTTCCTTCCCGCGTGAAGCAAAATGCACCCTGCGGTCGAGTTTACCAAGCATTCCCCAAACGTGGCAGCAGCACCCTCCTGACAAGCAGCCCATGAGACTCGACGACACCATTCAGCGTAAACGAAAAGAGAAGGAATGAAGATTTTATTTTTAAAAATCGCTGTCTTGCGTCGCAGCGCACGTTGGCGTCCAAAGGAATGCCACACCTCGGGCTACGTACGGCGCGAAGGAGGTTAAAAACGCGCACGTACGTACAATATCTATCGGATGTCGAACGAGCGTTGCCCGGGAGCCGGTCAACTTTAATTAGCGTGGCAGTCATCGCAGTCATTCCGACGGTCGGCGAGTTAAGCGCGGAGAAACATTCCCCGCCGGTCCACACACAGACACGTCCCAGCTGTTGCTGCAAACGGTACCGTCGGCCCAATTTTCTTTTATTACGTACGTATGTTGAATTTCTTTCACGCCGCACAGAGCCGACCGTGCGCGGGGGGTGGGGGGGAGACAACAAACTCAACACAAATTACAGAGAGGCTGTGAAATGAAAAACAACGAAAGCTGCAGCCACGCGATTGCTCGCTCACGTCGCTGCTGGCAGAAGGTCACCCAATGGAGGCAATGCTCCAGAGAGCTCCTCTGGTGGAGAGCATGTTGGCCTACTCATCCACTCGGCCCAGACGTCTTGCAAGATGCGGGGAGTGCCGACACATTACCCCGCCGCACGCGACCTTACGATGGACTTGCAGCATCAGAATCTTTATTTGGCCTGCAGGAGGAATCTGATGAGCTATGAAGCTCTTTGATGTCCTGTAGGGGGCACGGGGTCAGAAAGTTACAACAACAAACCGTACACGAACCGATAGGAGTGCAGAGTATAGTTAAGGTAAGCAAGTGGCTTATAATAAGTAAATAAATAATAAACCACATGCGTCGAGTATTTAAGTACAAATTGCAAAAGTATATCAATTCCTACCGCGGCGTTACCCGTTCATACTGCTGCTGGGGGGGACGGAAATGGTGGGCGGCGGCGTTGGGAGGTGGGGTGGGATTTCTATAACCCCCTCGCCCCCCCCCCCCCATCGTTTCAACTGCCACACCGGGGAGATGGATTCGAACCCGGCGGGGATCCGCGATTCCAGCGCCGACTGTTATTGATGCCGCGGCAGCGTCCGCGGGAGGGCCCAAAGCGCGCAGCAGACAAGGCCGAGAGCACATCGGCAGCAGAATTAAAGGCGACCCCCAGTGACGACAGGCGGTGAAGACATTAGGAATATTTACAGCTCGCCCTGGCAAGAGCTCAACAGCGCTTGGCCGTGGCTCAGCGGCGGCTGATCGGACTCCCGCGGCCTCTTGACGGCCGCCTGGGATGTCCACCACCACCACTACCACACCCCCCCACCACCCCCACCGCTGCCATCACCTCCCGCTACCCAGCCTCACGGTCGGCGGTTTACGAGAATTCTCTTCTGTGGGAAACGAAATCGTAATGAAGCGTGGTGAAAGCGAGTCCAACTTGAAAAAGTCAATGAATTTCATAGTGAGTGGGAGGGATATTAATTTTCAGCGGAAAATTAACAGCGCCGCCACGAAACGCACCGCCGCAATGAACCCCAGCGACCTGAGGTGCAGTTTTGGCATACGGCTAACGTGAGTAGCGAGCGATGCGTGAACACGAACACTGCTCGCCATATCACTGACGGTGGCTGGGTCGACGGTGGCGGCAGGGTGCAGGACACCGCTGGACACTGACCGCCTTAAATGAACGGACTACGACTCATCATTGACGGAGGCCTGGGATTAGAGTTGAATTCCTGGCCACGACTCGCATCAGTCGAGAGTGGGGGGGGGACACCACTTTCCTCCACCTAGACCTGCGCTGACCAGCATGGTGAAGTATGGTCAAGCAAACCCGCACGTCTCACGTGGCGTGTGGAGGACTTCGTCCAGCCGGGGATTGAGAAATGACTGCAATTTGATTAATTTTCAAATTTCGCAAAAAAATTACCCCACACAGCGACACTCGCACTGCCAGTACATGTGTGCGTGCGCCCCCATCGACGTCCCGCAAGGAATTCTGGGCGTTTTCCCATGATCCGCGGCGGATTTACATCTTTGACTGCGGCCCTGTTGACGCACAGAGAGACGTGCAATGTTTTTATCTGTGAGAACGCAACGCTCCCAGTGTTGGCGGATGACAATTTTTACAATTATAAAAAAAAAAAAATTTTAGCTGGAAAATATGCAGAAAAGTTTTGGCAGGGGGACAAAACGAATGAAAAGTCGAGGGGGGTTATTTTGTCTTTCGGAGTGGATGATGGTGGGGGGGCCGTGGTGGGGGAGCTGGTGTGGTGGTTAGGGGGCGGGGGGAGGCGGGGGGGGCGATGGGCCTGCCAGTGAGTGGTGGGAACTGAGCAGAAAGCTCCGGCGAGTTGGGAAAACCCAAGGAGGAGGAGGAGGGAGGTGGTGGTGGTGGGTTTCGGGGGGAGTGGGGGGGGTATAGACGTTAATTTCCCTGCTGGGGGGCTCGGCAGCGACTACCACACAGCCCCCTCTAGGGACTATTACAGTTTAGGAGTGAATTTTTTTTTTGTTCACGAATAAAAAAAAAAACACGAAACGTGCCCCCTGATCTCACGGTTTCCGCGCCTCCGAGCCGCGGGCCGCCGTCGCCGCCGCCGCTGCCGCCGCTGCCGGGAGTGAAGGCCTCGTTTCATTTTTTAACCCTGGGGAGTATTGGCGGGGCGGGGCGGGGCGGAGAGGGGGGCCCGGATTAAATATATTTATATATTTAACAGAGTCCCCCCCCTCCCCCCCCCCCCCCATTTGACAAAACGAACGGCGAAATAACTCCGAAGCGCTCGGCTTCCAAAGAACACACGGAGCAGCCACGGCACGGTGCGGTCCGCGTGCGTGGTTTTCAGTCTGCTGATAATTAAGTGTTGATTTAAAGCGACTCGTATTTTACAAATATGGTTAATGATGAAAGGTTATCCTGTACCGCGACCGTGATGAAAAAATGTTTTTATGTCTGTCTCCCATTCCTCTCTCTCTCTCCCTCCCGCCTCCCCTCCCTCTCTGTGGCATACACGTGCTCTCCCAACATGATCGCACTTGCGCATTAAAACCACAAACACATGTCTTGCACTCGCGCACGCACGCGTGGCCCCACGCGCGCAAAACCCGCTGCCATCACACGCTCGCCCCGTACGCTCGCACACGCGTGAACGCACGTGCACACGTTCAAACGCACGGACACGCGTTCAAACGCACGCGTTCAAACGCACGCACATGTTAAAACGCACGCACACGTTAAAACGCACGCACGCGCACGTACACATTCACGCACGTGAGCACATATGCCAACGCGCGCACACACACGCACGCACACACACATACCCCCCCCCTCTCCGCCGCTCCCCCATCCCCCTCTCTCACAGAGGCCCGTTTATAGTTGCGCTGGGCCGATCGTGGCACAAGGATCACTTTAACTGCTGCCATTGCAACTCGTGCCTGGCCGACACGGGCTTCGTGGTGGAGGCGGGCAAGGTGTACTGCCAGGGCTGCTACGGAATGTTCTTTGCACCCCCGTGTGGCAAGTGCAGCCAGAAGATCGTCGGGGTGGGTCAATCGCACCCCTCATTCATTCCTCGTTTCGTCGGCCTCTCACTGCGTGTGCGATGATTTTAGAAACCTCCCCTCCCGCTTACCCCGCCCGCACTTCCCACAACTTCTGCCACCCCCCGCTCCCCTAACCACCCGCCCCCCCCTCCCCCCCTTGCACTGTGTGTGTTTTGTTAACATTTTTTCGCGATTGTTTTTATTCTGTCAATCGGTCATTGTCAAGCGCCAGTCGTCGTCTTTGTTGCTCTATCCCGGCTAAACGTGCGGTGTTGGTCCGGCCACCGACGGTTGGCATGTTGGCTGGAACCTTCGGAACCAATGTTAGCTCCGTTGGTTCCATGTTTACCGGGGACCGGTGCGTATGCGTGCCGTCGTTGTTGTGGGTGGAGTGGTGGCGTAGTGGTCCGTGCGCCGCGCTACGAACCCGGCGACCCGAGTTCAATTCCCGGCAAATATCTGAACCGGTCCTGGGCAGAGGTTGCAATCGGGTACCCGATTCCCGTACCCTACTCGATACTCGGCTACCCGTACCCGGCCGGGTATGGGTACGGGTAGGCCGTGAGTCACTGGTGAGTAACCGTTTGTCACTCATTTCCCAACGTCTTGTCTCTTCTCACAATTCAAGTTCCTAGAATCAACCCACCCGCGCCTGCAACATGGCTTCATCCCAGAGGTCGCAATCGGGTACCCGTACCCGTACCCTACCCGATACCAGGCTACCCGTACCCGGCCGGGTATCAGGTAGGGTACCCGTTTGCGACCCTGGTGCGGCCGGGTATGGGTACGGGTAAGGAATCAAAACCCGTTTGCGACCTCTGGTCCTGGGCCTCCCACCTCTTTCGAGTGCGTCACCAATGAAGTACCTGCTGCGGTGTGTAAATATCAGCACTGGGGGGAGAGACAAAGGTGGCCGAGTGTGATGCTGGCCACACCACCCTCGCCTGCGCGCTGCGACAGCCTCAACAGGTGCTCGCTAACAGCACTTGCTCTCACAGTCTGTTAGTGAGGCATCTGTGAATGAATGGAGCGACAGTGTTGCGGTTAGCGAGCTGCGCTACGAGCCTGGCTACCCGAGTTCAATTCATGCTCACGGGCCAACACCAGCGACGATTATTTGAATCGGCGCAGGGCCTCCCGTAGGTTGACTCGACCTCAAATGAGTACCTGGTGCGGTGCGTAAAAACATCGCCACTCGGGACAAAAAAGGCGGCCGGGCGTGGTGCTGGCCACCCACCCCGTCTCGTGCCGTATCGGCCTCCGTAGGTTCTCACTAACAGCACTTTCCCCAACTGTCTGCCGAGGCTATTACGTGAGATCTGGGCGTGCGACTTCGATGTTCGACTTGTGTAGTCGACTCGACTCGGAGCTGCTTAGCTCTGTTACAAGTGTAGAGGTGATACGCGCTGGGATTAAGGATCGTATGCACAGTGCGTGATGATTGGCTGTGTAGGTGGTGACGCGCTGAGAGGGAGTGATCAGGTGGCAGCACAGTGTGATTGGTGGAGTAATGTTAACACGCGCTGGGGAAAGCGGATCGTAGAGAGAGTGCGTCGTGATTGGGTCATTAAGGAACGACGCTCACGTCGACGCCGCATCAGCTCCGTCCCTCGTGAGCAGGGGATATAAAAGGGGATGCACACAGGCGTAAGGGCAGTGTGTAACCAGCGAAGAAGGAAGACGGGGATGAAGACCTAGAGCCCTGCGGTACCTAGCCCCGCTGTCCTAAGGGGACCGGGACTCTGTGTAACCCAGAGGCGAGTGTAGTGGGTGTAGCCATAGGTCTACACGAGCCGAATGTACTATGTGTAGCCAGGGCATAGGGCTTACACGAGTCGAGTGTATTGTGTAGCCAGAGGCATAGGGCTTACACGAGTCGAGTGTATTGTGTAGCCAGAGGCATAGGGCTTACACGAGTCGAGTATATTGTGTGTAGCCAGAGGCATAGGGTCTACACGAGTCAAGTGTATCGGGTGTAGCCAGAGGCCTAGAGCTTACACGAGATTAGTGGAGTGTGTCGGAGGAAGAAGAGAGACCACACGTTGTATTGTGATACCTAAAGGATTTAATAAAAGTGTGTTACCCGTCAAGAAGTTCCTGCCGTCAATTCCCATACTTCACAAGGACGGCCACAGCCGAAGACCAGCGGCGGTGGGGGTGCCGTTAGGGGACATCGCCGCTAGGTAATGACGAAATTTGATTAACAGAGTACGACTTGACTAAAACTCCACTCGCCTTGGGCTGAAACCGACTTCAATAAAAAATAAACGCTGACGAAATTAACTCCGGCACGCGTGCACACGCGCACACACCACACCTCCGATTAGCACGGTTGGCTACGTACGGTGCAAAAGAAGTTCAACGTGCACACGCGCATGCCAAATCACTGAAACTCCGCTCGTCTTAGATTATTCATAATGTATATACAAAAAATGTGCATACATCGGTATGTAATGACACGTAGGTATAAAATAAAATCGATCACGACGTTTCGGGCGCAACACAAGCGTCCGTCCCACCTGATGACGGATGCAACTCAAGACGTTTCGATCGCAACACAAGCGGTCGTGATCGAAACGTCGTGATTTATTTTATTTTCTACATACGTGACTTTACCGAAAGAACCAAAGAGTATGGATTCCTGCAGTCACGAAAGCTTCAAATCAAGATTGGTATGTAATGAGTTGATGTTTTTGTAATTGGCCCGCCAATGTCTGTGGCCACAATAACGCGACGAGCGCTCACAACAACCCAGCTCGCCCCTTCTCAACTCTCTCCCCTTCTCCGCTCTCTCGCTCCCTTCTCTTCCGTCTCTCGCCGCCTTTTTCACGAGCCACTGCGCGATGAAAGGCCCGAGGTTTGCCTTGTCCGCGCGAGCCCGCCGGCTTTAAATGGCGCTGGCCGAGCGCGAAACCCGATCCGCCGACGATGATTGATGTACAAATTCCCGAGCGTAACCGGATCAAAGCCGGCGGCGCTGCACGGCCCAACAGAATCAATGTCGAGGCGTCACAACTCCGAAGTGGCGGTGGGGGGCGGGGGGGGGGCCCGCTTGTCCCCGCGATCGCGACGACGCCAGCGCCGGATTCTCAGAGTTTCTGAGAACTGTCGGAGAAAAAAGAAACACGGCAAAAAGAAAAGAACGAGGTATCCTGGGAAAAGTTGTGAGTAGGAACCACGCCGACAAGGAGCGGGTTTTGGCAGCGGTCATTTAGGCGCAGTTCGACTAAGAATCGGGCAGTGTTTGTGACAAATAACAACGGTGCTGTTTGTGAGAAGCTGCAATATGCATCATCGGCTGTGGGAGTTTGTGTACGTGTATATACATTGGGGGGTGTGATGATTGAGTCTGAAAGTTAAGAGGTTCAAAAGTTATACATTTGTAACGCATACAGATTTCCTTAGATTCGGACGAGCAAGGAAGACTGCCAGAACTGGCACGACCAACAATTGCCCGAGCTCTGTGATCCTAAATTGGGATATATGAACCAATTACATACAACGTATGCACATTTAATGTTACATATCTATGGTCGGTGCGAGTGGGTAAACGAGTGGAGGCGAGGAGCGATGTCGATTGCCCAGAAATCGAACTCTCGCCGCGAACCTGTCACCATCACTTGATGTGCGTGGTGGTGGGCGGCTAACGGAACATGCTCCTCCCAACAATTTGTTATCGCCCAAATGGCAGGATCTTTGATGTTGCTGCTGCGTGTATCTGTGCACGTTTGTGCTGCGGTAGTGTAGCGGTTAGCGCTACGAACCCAACCACCCGAGTTTGATTCCCGCTCGCAGCCACCAACAATGCTGACGATTATTATCTGAACCGATCCTGGGCCTCCCCGAAGTCGACTCATTTCTCAAATGAGTACCTAATGCGATGTGTTAACATCGCCACTCGGGAGACAAAGGCGGCCGGGCATCGTGCTGGCCACCCACACCCCCCTCGTGTGCCGTGCCGGCCTTCATAGGTGCTACTCGCTAACAGCATTTTACCCCAACAGTCTGCTGAGGCTATAGGGGGGATCTTTGTCTTTGTGTGTATGTACATATATACGTGTGTGCGTGTGCATTTGTGCACCTACGGGCACGAGTTGGCCAAGTCGCACCGCGCCCGCCCATCGGCGCGAACAGTCGCCCCTCTATTGCCGTTCCAAGCCGGGTCTCTCTCTGGAAAACGAGTTGCAGATGTGATCTTGAAAAGCGGGGCGATTACATCGCTCGCTCGCTCGCTCGCTCGCTCGCCGGAGATCACCGGCGGCCAGAGTCGTAGAGCGCTGCAGAAATTGAATCCGGCGAGGGCAGCTCCCAGAGCTGACCGCAACCGTTTCAGGTGGTGTGAGCGCAGCCTTGTGTCCGAATGCCCGTGCGTGCACGACGATGCGGGGAGCGGTGGCACAGTGGTTAGTGCGCATTGCTTTGCGAATCCGGCGGTGACTCCAGTTCGATTCCCGCTCGCGGACAACACCGGTATCGAATATCTGGACCGGTTCTGGGCCTTTCAACGAGTGCGTGAAATATGGATATCGGGACCGGGAAGACAAAGGCGGCAGGGGCGTGGCGCTGGCCAAAACACGTCCCTCTGTGTCTGCCGTGCCGGCCTTAATAGGCGCTCGCTAAGAACACTCTCGCCAACTGTTTATGGGGTATATTTGTCTGTGAGTGTGTGTGTGTAAGAGGGTGGCGGAGGTGTGAGGTACGTGGGGAGCGTTGGCAAGTTGGTCGGAGCTGCTAGGGTGACTCGGCCTTAAATGGGTACTTTGTGTGGTGTGTAAATATCAGCGCTGCTAGGGTGACTCAGCCTTAAATGGGTACCTAGTGCGGTTTCTAATCGGCAGCAAGAGGCTAGACAAACGTTGTCAGGCGTGGAGCAGGCTGACAACCGGATCAATGCGGGTTGATGAAGGAGGGAAGCCCAGGGCCGGCTCAGACACGATGTTTGCCATTGCCAGCAATCGAACTTAGGTCGCCAGGTTTGTAGCGGAGTCGCGCGGCGAACCACTGCGCGCCTATTGCGCGTGTATGTAACCCAGGCGCACGTGAGTGTGCGATAAATCCACGTGCGCGCGTGTGTGTGTGTGTGCGCGCGAGCATGTGAGAGCGCCTCTGTGTGGTGCGCGCGTCGTCAAGGCTCCGCCGTGACAGGTAGTGCTGTGTGCCCGTCTGGCGGCCGGCCCGCTTTGCCTTGGCTCGTGCCGCTCCCGTATATAAAGTTACGTGGGCCCGTGTGACCGATCCCGTACTCGCGATCGCGAGTTTTTGTCATTCCCCCCCCCGCCCCCTGCTCCTCCCCCTCCCCCCCTCCCCTCAATGTTATCGTGTTTGAGCGGTCCGCCGTCTCTTGAGCGAGACGAAGTATCCGCCCGGATCCCTCGCGGAGACAGTGCAGCCGCCTCGTGTTGTAGGAACGGCCCGCAGAAGCGGTTCATGCGGAGCTAGTTCTGAGTTCCCTTCAAGTGACCTCCAGAGGGAAGCGCTTTCCCCGCACGCTACGCACTTACGAGAGCGACGTTCATCACGTGACGGACGGACACTTTTCCCAAATTCGGTGCGGAACCAAAAATTCATCGGTGACCTAGCGGTGACCGTCAACTCGAGATCCCGGCTTGAAAATGCCGCGATTCGAACCCAGGATCTCGGCGAATTTGCGCTTACTTCAGTTGACGGTTGCCATTCGAATGGAGAACTGCGACCCTCAAAGGAATGCCCCCCCTCCCCCCACCATTGTCACCCCCCCCCCCCCACCTTCGTGACCCGTGGATCAAACAAATCACTCGTGACGCCGGTGTGCGGCAGCAGGAGCGGTCCACGCGAATGCTGCCGCAAGAGGTCACACGTTCGGCGCGACGGCTCCTTCGCCACCGACCTCTGAGGTCACCACCGCCCGGGCCACCTCGGCGCTCCCCGTTTCAATCCGAGCACGCGGACTGTGGATACCTGTAGGCCCCCCGAGTTGAAGTCGTGATTCTGAAGATGAAATGAAAAATTATCTTTTTGAATCGTGACCGCCCGCCCGCCCGCCCCAAATCGTGACAATTCTTCAAATCGCTGGGAAGCGAAGCGTGAATTGCTTCATGGCTCAATTGTAATCGGCGAATCGACGGATTGCTACGAGGTGGCTTGCCAACGCAGTCCGTTACAATGTTTGTTGAATCATTCATAATCTGTGACTCGCAATAATTCTCGTTTACCCGAGAGAATGATGCAGAGGCGCTGGAAGCCACAAACGAGCAGGAAGTCATCCCGAAACGAGCTCCTACAGTTTGCCCAAGTTCTGCGGTCCTATCTTGTGATGCTCCATTCGCCGGCGTTTCTACATTTATCGATTACCCGTGCTGCGCTTGTGGCTACAGGAGATCACGTACGCACTCAAGCAGGCCTGGCACTCCAACTGCTTCGTGTGCGCGTGCTGCAGCCAGCCCATTGGCCAAGGCGTCTTCCACATGGAGGATGGAGATCCCTACTGCGAGAAGGGTACACGCCCCAACCCACCCCAGTCGCTAGCCACGCCCACTGTTGCGTAACCACGCCCACTCGATCGCTAGCCACGCCCACTGTTGCGTAACCACGCCCACTCGATCGCTAGCCACGCCCACTGTTACGTAACCACGCCCACTGTTGCGTAACCACGCCCATTGTTGCGTAACCACGCCCACTCGATCGCTAGCCACTCCCACTGTTGCGTAACCACGCCCATTGTTGCGTAACCACGCCCACTCGATCACTAGCCACTCCCACTGTTGCGTAACCACGCCCACTCGATCGCTAGCCACTCCCACTGTTGAGTAACCACGCCCACTGTTGCGTAACCACGCCCACTGTTGCGTAACCACGCCCACTCCATCGCTAGCCACGCCCACTGTTGCGTAACCACGCCCACTCCGTCACTAGCCACGCCCACTGTTGCGTAACCACGCCCACTCGATCGCTAGCCACGCCCACTGTTGCGTAACCACGCCCACTGTTGCGTAACCACGCCCACTGTTGCGTAACCACGCCAACTTGATCGCTAGCCACTCCCACTGTTGCGTAACCACACCCACTGTTGCGTAACCACGCCCACTGTTGCGTAACCACTCCCACTGTTGCGTAACCACGCTCACTGTTGCGTAATCATGCCCTGCTAGATTGCTAGACACTTTTTTCAAAAGTATATGCCACTCAATAGCTTGTCAGTCTTCTGTATTCATTACTCCCAGAAGTCTGTCGCTGTCTTTTATAAGTCTTCCGAACCTTGTTCTGACGTTTAAAATCAAGCAAAAGTTTAGTTCATCTTCTTGGTTCTTTCGGTAAAGTCACGTAGAATGGAAATAATAAAATAATAAAAATAAAACAATAAAATAATTCTCACGAGAGTCAGACTCTGTCTCCTCGACAGACCTGTTCTCCACCTGAGGACGGCTACTTGCGTTGTGGCCGAAACGTCGTGAGAATTATTTAATTATGTTTATTTTTTTATTTTATTATTTCCATTCTACGTGACTTTACCGAAAGAACCAAGAAGATGAATCCCTGCAGTCACGAAAGCTTTAAATCGAAAAAAAAGTTTAGTTGTTACACGGAATATCCCATTTAGCCAGTATACCCAGCTAGGTTCGTTGGCAACGGCACGCAGCCACTCACAGCAGAGTCGTTGGGGTGCACAGGAGCCCAGCCAGCATCCAGCCAGGAAACTGGAGGCGTAGATCATTATTATTTAATACGTAGTAGTAGTGTTAGTACGATGACTTCCTGCGGTTGCGTTTCGCAACGACGACCCCCACCTGCGTCGTCGTAGGTTACGAGCATGCGTGTGTCCCCCCTCCTTCTCCTCCTCCCCACGCGACGCGCAGACTTCTTCAGGCTGTTCAGCACCAAGTGCGAGGGCTGCGACTTCCCCGTGGAGGCCGGCGACCGCTACGTGGAGGCCCTGGGCCACACGTGGCACGACACGTGCTTCGTGTGCACCGTACGTGTGGGGGCCCCTCCTGAGCTTGCTTCCCACCCCCCCCCCCCAACACGAAACCGAGCGCGTTCGCGTGTCATCTTTACGTCTGTCCCATCAGTGTGTCCGTCCTTCTGTCCGTCCATCTGTAAGTCGGTCTAGCTTTCTGTTCGTCCGTCCATCCGTGCATCCCCTCCGTGTCTGTGTGCTTTCGTATGTGTGTCAGTTGGGTAAAGCTGCGCAATTGTCCATCCATCCATATGTCCGTCCGTCTTTCTGTCTGTCCGTTCGTCCGTTGATCAACCCGTGTTTGTGTCGCTCGTCTGTCTCTCGTCAGTCTGTTCATCTGTCCGTCCGTCCTTCCGTGCGACCTTAACGCTGGAAGCACTATGACGCACGCGAAGATCACCCAGTGTGAGCACAGGTGTCGCGTAAAGTGTTAACGTCATGTAATAGTGGCGTTGTTACAGAAGACACGAGAGAAACAACATTGACAAGAGCCAAGTACATAGAAGAACAAGACACAACAACAGGACAATGGATGTTGTTGCACTGCCCTTGGCTGGCAATGTATCTGCAGCAGCCGATAGCAGATGCAATTTGTTTAAAAGCGACCAATTAGTTATAACACGATTAGCACGGTTGGCTACGTACGGCGCTAAAGAAGTTCAACGCACGTATCGCAGGCGTAATCAATGTTTTACCCGATGAATGGACGCATAGTCACGTGCCTGCCGTTGATAGCCCGTTCCTCCACAGCGCTCCCCAATGCTCGCCCACCTCCACCCTTTCCTTGCTCTCTTGTCTCCTCTCCTCCACCACCCGCCCCGCAGGTGTGCCAGGTGAACCTGGAAGGGCAACCCTTTTACTCCAAGAAGAACAAGCCCCTCTGCAAGAAGCACGCCAACTCCATCAACATCTGAGCGACGCGTGGCCCGCCCGCACGATGGCTGGGTTTTGGGGGAGGGGAGGGGGGGGCAGGAGCTGTGGGCAGGGGTAGTGGGCTTCTTAGGGGCAGCAGCTGTAGGAGTGGAATCGGGGGGGGGGGGTGGAGGAGGCAGTTTTGGATGGGGAAGGCAACAGGGCAGCACTGAGAGAGCGAGTGGAGAGAGAATCACTGCCGAGGTTTCGTTTCCGCGGCCTCACCCCATCTGGTGCGACGTCGTGCCGACGTTGTCTTACCGGGGTGGGTGGGGGGGAACCGTTTATATTCCGCCGCGTGGAGTGACAGCATGACGACCCAGCTCGCTCCGCGACGCGCGGAGCGGAACGTTGGACCCGGCGAGGAAGAGGCCGCCGGAGAACGCCGCCACGGGGGAGGGGGGGGGGGGGCACCGTCCTCGGGGAGACGACCGCGGCAATTGTCGATCGCGGCAATCGTCGATCGCATCCTGTAGCCCTTGTGACCTTCGTGGCCACGATCCCCATGGCCGTGGTGGGGGGAGGCGGGGGGGGTTAACCCGTGATTGTGGGCTTAGATGCTCTTTGTGGAACGGCCTCCTCATCGTCCGACGACGACGACTCGTCTGTGGAGTCGGAATAAAGAGCCACGTGGATTCCTCCTCCACCGCCGCCGCCGCCACGAACGCTCGAACGCTTTTCTTTCTCGCTCGCGGTTTTCCCCCAAACGTGTTTTTGCTTTGCTTGCTGCGTGCGAACGACAGCGATTTATTCATGTTTGCTCGTCGCCATTATCAGTTCGAGTTGAGTGAACGTCGAGGTTCGTTAGGAGGCATTCGACTTGGCGCTGGATATTATTATTTTTTTGCTGCTGCTGCTCCTGCTGCTTTGTTTAGATTCATGGTCGGAGATTTTCGAAAAGTGGTCGTTGATAGCGATATGACAATGTTGGCTGTGGGAGGGGGTGCTTGGTATTGGTGCCAGATGTTTGAAGGATAAGCTCATGAGAGTTTACTGAACCAGTTTTTTTTTCGTTTCGGTATTATTACATCTTGTCACACACGGCGTTCAAACCTCGCCCGTGTACGTTATACCAGCGCAGAGAAATGCAACGTTCGGTTTGAACTATCGCTAAGAAACTGGCGCCCAAAGGTGGAGAAAAAGAACGTGCAGAAAGTTGCGATGGTGCGGTGGGTGCTGATAAGCGAGCTGAGCCAGTTGCATGAAAACATGAGAAGCGAGATCATTGGACAAGGCGACCGTCGCGTTTTAGATTAAAACGCTTAATTCTAGATTTGAAGCTTTCGTGACTGCAAGGATTCATATTGTTAGGTTTTTTCGGTAAAGTCACGTAGTTAAAAAATTAAAATTAATAAAAGTTAAATAAAAATAAAATAAAAATCACGACGTTTCAGAGGCAACACAAGCCTCCGTCTTCAGGTGGAACCGTCACAGCACGCTTGCTGTATCAAGTAGGAGAAATTCCAAGAAAACAGTCCTTGTATATATACTGGTTGAGGGTGGGAGGAGCCAAGGTAGGCCTTGGATATTATTGTGAGGTTCGGTGCGGCTGAAGCACGCTGTTACCTACGTGACTTTACCGAAAAAACTTAAGAATACTAAAACGCTTCTTGACTACGCGTGGGCCCTTTGGCGGCGTTCGTGCTGATCGGCCCTTTCCTCTTTGTGACCGCGTGCCGCTGTTTGGGTGAGGAACGTGGAGAGGGGGGGGCTCCCACGTGACCTTCCCCCCCCCCCCACTTCCTCCCGTACGCGGAGAAGCTTCTTCGGGGTCGCGATGAACGGCGGTGACGGAGGCACGCGTCATCTTCTGCTCGGGAGATGTTTTGTGTTTAGTCACCTACGCTCGGCTTTTTACGTTTGCTGCTGTTATTTTTTTTTATTATCGATGAAGATTTTCTCCCCCCCCCCCCATCCATCCCGTGATTCTTTAAAGACCGCACGCTCACATGCCGTGAGTTCCGTATAGCGTTGCAAAAAAAGTAATATTCGAACACGGTGTTACTGGATACCGAGGACTGTATGTTTATTGTTAATGGTTTGGCTGAGGGTTGGTGGTGGTGTTTTTTTGTTTCGCTTCTTCCATTTTCTCTCCTCTGTCCCCTTGTCGGGTTTGCTTTTAATTTTATTTTCCTTCTGCCGTGGCCGCGTGGTGTGAAGGGCGTGACGGCAAGCGGTGGATTGTACGACTAATCGATGAGCCAGTCGAGTTAAGGAATTCAGAAGAGACTTTTCATCGAATGGATTTTTATTATTAATATTCTTTATTTTGTTGGTTCACGTCTCAAAACCGCCCATCTTTGTGAGAATTCTTGTTTTTGGTTTTTGCGGGGCATTTATTGACGAGACTTTGAGAAAGACGTCACTCACCGGGTTTTTTCTATGTTGTTTCTCTTCGTCTCGGTCTGAAGATTTGGCTTCAAGGGAGGGAGGGAGGGGGGTAGAATAAAAAATATAAACGGCAGTACTTACAAAAAAAGATTTTTCTCTGCTTAATTTAGACTCTGAATGTGCGAATTGGCCATGGGGTTTGTCGCAGTTCTCCCAAAATTTGCGCGGAGTTCGGGAATTGTGGGGGTGTGTTGGTGCCGTGTTGGATTTCCGAAGCAACGATAGATTCCTTAAACCAGGGCTTACGTCTAAATAAAAACATCTAATCGTAAGTTCCTTTTTGGCTATTCGAACCATTCTCACTCGCGCAAGTCTATGACGGAGGGCAGCAGCTGTGTTCCACAGGCATAGTCACAGACAGTCTGTGTTCCAGACAGTCACAGGCATAGTCACAGACAGTCTGTGTTCCAGACAGTCACAGGCATAGTCACAGACAGTATGTGTTCCAGACAGTCACAGGCATAGTCACAGACAGTCTGTGTTCCAGACAGTCACAGGCATAGTCACAGACAGTACGTGTTCCAGACAGTCACAGGCATAGTCACAGACAGTCTGTGTTCCAGACAGTCACAGGCATAGTCACAGACAGTACGTGTTCCAGACAGTCAGAGGCACAGTCACAGACAGTACGTGTTCCAGACAGTCACAGGCATAGTCACAGACAGTATGTTCCAGACAGTCACAGACATAGTCACAGACAGTATGTTCCAGACAGTCACAGGCATAGTCACAGACAGTACGTGTTCCAGACAGTCAGAGGCACAGTCACAGACAGTACGTGTTCCAGAGTCACAGGCATAGTCACAGACAGTATGTTCCAGACAGTCACAGACATAGTCACAGAGAGTATGTTCCAGACAGTCACAGGCGTAGTCACAGACAGTACGTGTTCCAGACAGTCACAGGCATAGTCACAGACAGTACGTGTTCCAGACAGTCAGAGGCATAGTCACAGACAGTCTGTGTTCCAGACAGTCACAGGCATAGTTACAGACAGTACGTGTTCCAGACAGTCACAGGCATAGTCACAGACAGTCTGTGTTCCAGACAGTCACAGGCATAGTCACAGACAGTATGTGTTCCAGACAGTCACAGGCATAGTCACAGACAATATGTGTTCCAGACAGTCACAGGCATAGTCACAGACAGTATGTGTTCCAGACAGTCACAGGCGTAGTCACAGACAGTATGTGTTCCAGACAGTCACAGACGTAGTCACAGACAGTATGTATTCCAGACAGTCACAGGCGTAGTCACAGACAGTATGTGTTCCAGACAGTCACAGGCGTAGTCACAGACAGTACGTGTTCCAGACAGTCACAGACGTAGTCACAGACAGTATGTGTTCCAGACAGTCACAGGCATAGTCACAGACAGTCTGTGTTCCAGACAGTCACAGACATAGTCACAGACGCAGTCACAGACGCAGTCTGCGGAAGCTTCTCACTCGGGAGTAAATGTTGCTGTGGCTTAACTACCTTAAAGAGTTTTCTTTTTGAAGCACAAGATTTTAGAGTTGGTGAAAAGCCTCCGCACGTGGCTATTACGCCGTGAGCGTGTGTTGGTGTTAAGGGTTCACGGTACAGCCCCTTGCGATTGTCCTCTGTGCCAGAATGGCCTCCTCCAGAGTGAGCTCCAGTGAGGGGGAGGGTGTATTTGGCCTACTCCTCCACGCTAGTCAAGCATCTTGGGAGCAGGTGTCAGTACCCACACTTAACCCCACCAGACACAACCTTGCCAGTCAACTAACTGCGGTGGTACCTATTTATACTGCTCTTGTTGCTCTATAGCGGGGTTTATTTGTTGTTTTATATATTGTAGTCTCTTCCAGAGGTGGGACAAAGTCATTTATATGCAAGTCCAAGTCGAGTCTGAAGTCATCAAATTCATGACTCGAGTCTGACTCGAGTCCAAGTCACATGATTCGAGTCCACACCTCTGGTCTCTTCCGTACCGCGCCCAGCAGCGTTGAGAACGGCATCGGTCCGATCCATTGCCGATTAAACCCTCTCTGATGGAAAAAAACACAATCGAGAGCCTTACTCGAGCCCAGCGTTCTTCACTAATTTTCAGAGTGGGGAGCGGGGGGCACTTTGGCCGATAAGACATCATCAGTGCGAGGGCCGCCCACACATCTGAAACCATTGCGGGTTTGACAGCAACACGATGATGATGGGGGGCGGGGGGGGCGGTGTTCTCAACATTTGTGAATTGTCAGGGGCCGCACTAAAGGGCCACCAGAGGCCGCCAGTGACCCGTGGGCCTTGTAATAAAGAACATTGCTCCGGAGAGCCAAAGAGTTTTTCTGCGCGTTGCATTTCACGTTGGCTACGGCACTTGCGGCGAGATTCTCTTAACCAGACACCGCTTCGTTTGCGTCGGCTGCAATCGCAAACGTGCAGAGAATGAGCGTGGCGGGGTTCCCAACGGCCGGGCGTCGAGACGCGTTTCTTATTTGTCCTTTCTTTCTCCGATTCGTAGCGAGCGGAGTGATCTTTAACGAAGCAAAAAAAATCAACGAAGAATAATTATCGAGCTTGCAGGCTTTTGTGTTTTTTAGCGTCCAATTCGAAGTTGGCACGCCTTAATGGTTCTTTCGGTAAAGTCACGTAGGTATAGATTAAAATGAATTAAATCACGACGTTTCGGGCGCAACACAAGCGTCCGTCTGGTGAAGAGAATCTCGCCTCAAGTGCGTTGATGACGGACGCTTGCTTGTGTTGCGCCCGAAACGTCGTGATTTACATTTATTTAATTTTATACCTACGTGACTTTACCGAAAGAACCAAAGAGTTTGGCACGCCTTATGGAATACGAGCACCATCGCAGGCACAGCCATCAAGAAATTCACTTTTATTCTCGCTCGTCAGCCGTGAACAGGGTTTCCCTTTCAGCTGGCTCTGCCCGGAATGGCATTCCAGAAATATATTCCCCGGACCCGGCGCACCACGTCCAGTATCACGCCTCTCGCTATGACTGCAGCTGCGACCGGTTCATGCGCCGCGACCTACTCCCGTCTGCCGGCGGTCCGGAAAATATTGGGCGAGAAATTCACGGCGCCGTCGATTTACGAACAACTGGGCACTCGGTGGCCAAAGAGTCTCGGCTGGCATTGACGCCCGCTGCGTGTTTTGCTATGTTACATGCGTATTGGTTTCAATAAAGCCAGAACTGAACTCATCACTTGGTTGCCCCGTGGACTCTGCTCACTCAGCACCGCGCGCGCGCACGTGTGTGTGTGTGCCAAGGTGAGGCAGGGGTTAGCGCTACGCCTCCGCTGCGAACACAGACACCCGAGTTCGATCCCGCGCTCACGGCCAACACCGGTGATGATTATCTAAACCGGTCCTGTGCCTCGCCTGGGTCGACTCGGCCTCAAATCAATACTTGGTGTGGTGTGTACACATCGCCGTTGGGGAGACAAAGGTTGCCGGGCGTGAAGCTGGTCATCCATCCCCGGCCTTCATAGGTGCTACTCGCTAACAGCACTTGTCCCAACAGTCTGTTCAGGCTATACGGGGGTTCTTTGTGTTTTTTTGTTCGTTGTTCTTGTACCATTGACTGAAGCCATCAACTCCCTACACTTGAAAACAGGATAATCATCGGGAGCTGCCAGGATTTGAACCCAGTTCTCGGCATTGCCACCTCACTGCTCTCACCTGAACCCAGATCTCCACAGCGCCAGCTCACTGCTGCCACCTCGGCCCCGCGCGCGTCAAGGTGGCTTTTGATGCCACATTGGCGCGCGTCAAGGTGGCTTTTGATGCCACATTGGCGCGCGTCAAGGTGGCTTTTGATGCCACATTGGCGCGCGTCAAGGTGGCTTTTGATGCCACATTGGCGCGCGTCAAGGTGGCTTTTGATGCCACATTGGCGCGCGTCAAGGTGGCTTTTGATGCCACATTGGCGCGCGTCAAGGTGGCTTTTGATGCCACATTGGCGCGCGTCAAGGTGGCTTTTGATGCCACATTGGCGCGCGTCAAGGTGGCTTTTGATGCCACATTGGCGCGCGTCAAGGTGGCTTTTGATGCCACATTGGCGCGCGTCAAGGTGGCTTTTGATGCCACATTGGCGCGCGTCAAGGTGGCTTTTGATGCCACATTGGCGCGCGTCAAGGTGGCTTTTGATGCCACATTGGCGCGCGTCAAGGTGGCTTTTGATGCCACATTGGCGCGCGTCAAGGTGGCTTTTGATGCCACATTGGCGCGCGTCAAGGTGGCTTTTGATGCCACATTGGCGCGCGTCAAGGTGGCTTTTGATGCCACATTGGCGCGCGTCAAGGTGGCTTTTGATGCCACATTGGCGCGCGTCAAGGTGGCTTTTGATGCCACATTGGCGCGCGTCAAGGTGGCTTTTGATGCCACATTGGCGCGCGTCAAGGTGGCTTTTGATGCCACATTGGCGCGCGTCAAGGTGGCTTTTGATGCCACATTGGCGCGCGTCAAGGTGGCTTTTGATGCCACATTGGCGCGCGTCAAGGTGGCTTTTGATGCCACATTGGCGCGCGTCAAGGTGGCTTTTGATGCCACATTGGCGCGCGTCAAGGTGGCTTTTGATGCCACATTGGCGCGCGTCAAGGTGGCTTTTGATGCCACATTGGCGCGCGTCAAGGTGGCTTTTGATGCCACATTGGCGCGCGTCAAGGTGGCTTTTGATGCCACATTGGCGCGCGTCAAGGTGGCTTTTGATGCCACATTGGCGCGCGTCAAGGTGGCTTTTGATGCCACATTGGCGCGCGTCAAGGTGGCTTTTGATGCCACATTGGCGCGCGTCAAGGTGGCTTTTGATGCCACATTGGCGCGCGTCAAGGTGGCTTTTGATGCCACATTGGCGCGCGTCAAGGTGGCTTTTGATGCCACATTGGCGCGCGTCAAGGTGGCTTTTGATGCCACATTGGCGCGCGTCAAGGTGGCTTTTGATGCCACATTGGCGCGCGTCAAGGTGGCTTTTGATGCCACATTGGCGCGCGTCAAGGTGGCTTTTGATGCCACATTGGCGCGCGTCAAGGTGGCTTTTGATGCCACATTGGCGCGCGTCAAGGTGGCTTTTGATGCCACATTGGCGCGCGTCAAGGTGGCTTTTGATGCCACATTGGCGCGCGTCAAGGTGGCTTTTGATGCCACATTGGCGCGCGTCAAGGTGGCTTTTGATGCCACATTGGCGCGCGTCAAGGTGGCTTTTGATGCCACATTGGCGCGCGTCAAGGTGGCTTTTGATGCCACATTGGCGCCCACGTGGGGAGGGCATCACAGGGAGCGGCTGACAACTCGAGGACGCCCGCGTCTTCGACGTTCAGAACCCACACACCGCAGGGCAGCTTGGAGTTCTAAATGGTAAAAGGGTGGCAGCAGCTGCAATGACCTTTATTGACGCAATGCGAGGAGCCAGCCGTGCCCGTACATTGAGGCGGCTGCGAGCATGACGGTCGAATGGGGGGTGGGGGGGGGCAGCGAGTGCAGCGGTCAAACGTCCATAGCCCCTCGTCCCTGCCGCTCGCTGCTTCGTCATCTTCGGCGACCTCTCAAGGCGCCTGCTGCCACCAGCGCGACGTGTCCAGCAAACATCGTGTTGGTGTTTGCACAATGCGAGCCAACCCCCCACCCCTCCGACCCACAATCTGAATGCAGATTAGCTTCATCACCCCGCACAGAAATCCTCTCTCATCGAGACGCCCATACGCCGGGGTAAAACAGCGTCAGATGGTGAAAGTCTGAGGATAGAGATTCATCGTGTTAAAGAGGCGCTACGGTTAAATGGCTACAACAATGCTCACATTGATAATTGGTTTTTTACCCTTTTATCTGGCAACAAAACTGACACCTTTTTTTTACAAGGAGTCATGTTTGCATCGACCACAATACCTGCAGTCATAATGCAAAAAAAAACATAACTCTGATAATGTATGCACTGTCCTTGAAGTTGATTGGTCCACACCCGAGACAGCTTTCCTTAGAGCCTAGTCTCACATGGTGTTGGACCAGATGACGCCAAAAAGCGCACTGGCAAATGAGTTTCCAATGGTGAATGCTCACATTAATAAAGCATTGAATGCCAAAACAAGATCGAACAGCAATACCGCTGAAAGCGATCAGGTTATTAAAACAATCAAAATACCAAATATTGCGGGAGTAACTAAAAAATAAGCTCTAAAAAAATCAGAGTAAGATTCGGCACGGTATATAAATTTCAAACGCGAGTATCTTGTACTAAAGATGAATCGCCTAAGTTATCAACAGAAGGTGTGTATCGGATTAATTGCTTGTGGCAGATGTTATATTGGACATGCGGGACTTCCCGTAGCATTAGCGTCAGACTAAAAGAACACCAAAGCAATATTAAATACTCTCAAAAACAACTGTCGGCAGTTGTAGAACATGCTTGCCAGGACACTCAAGTGATGTTGATAACGTTTAAGTGTTGTGTAAAACAAATTTTTACTGGCCGAGTCTAATTCGAGAATCCATTGAAATTGAGAGAAATGCGAATAATTGTAACCGCTCTGACAGCTACAGGCTTAGTGCGGCCTGGAAGTCATTAAGTAATACCTCTTACAACTGTATTCCTTATAGAGGAAACACGTGCTAATTAACTGATTACTAATCTATTATTTAATTACAATAATAACTCCCCTCCTCCGCCTCTGATCTCTGCACCTGATGGGTTCCGTGATGACGTTGTCCTGATGCTGCTCGATTTAAGACCGGAACCAGGCGGATGGCTTCACTATTCTGGCAATTCGCCCGATGATGCTGGATGTAATCACCAGCGAAACGTTCTATTGAAATAGTAAATGTTGTGGATTTACTCTCCAACACACTGGTGGGCTGAAGTAGTTGTAAACTAATTGGCGCGTTGTTTACGTGACAAACCTTACCGGCTGTGTCGGGTGGTGGAGGGTTACGACACATTCACACTTACGCGATCAAACCCAAAAACCTTTATTAGCAACAATATTGGTAGCGAAAGCCCCCTCCGTGTTAAACACCCCGATGTGAGGCTCGTGTTGGCCTCTGGGAAAACAATACAGATGGGAGTTATATCTTTTTTTTACTGAGAGTGAGAGCAAAGTGAATAACAGTCATGGTTCACGCAATATCCACCTCCATCAGTGTTGCAATGGAGCATTCATACTGATGTTCACATATCATAAGACCTCCCTTGCCAGTATATCAAAATATAAGAATTGGTTTCACCATTTCTGAAAATAAAACAGCTGTGTTAAGATGTTAAAACACCAAACAAAAACCTTTCGCAAGGAATCACGCCTGCATTAACCACATTTACGTGCAAACAAACGCAACGCTCTGATAGTATACGATGCATTTTCTTTGAAACTGATTGGTCCACACCAGAGAGCCAGCTTTCTTTAGAGCCTCGTCTCAAACAGTGTTAAAACCAGAGGACGCCAAAAGCCAAGCAGCACAAATTCCATCTTCATACTGCTGTTCGTGTTTAGTTTATTGTCCTTCCCCCCCACCCGCACCTGGGTAGAGGGAGCACATCAGCATACGTGTAGTGCACCTGACCGCTGATGAGGCCCAGCTTGGTGAAACCAGTCCTGAGTAAAAGATAAATTATTCTTTGTTTCTTTCGGTTAAGTCACGTCTAAAGATAAATAAATTAAAATAATAGCATATTACGACGTTTCGATTGCAACACAAGCAATCTTCATCAGGCATAAAAGAAAAATGATTGCTTGTGTTGCAATCTAAACGTCGTAATATGCTATTATTTTAATTTATTATTTTATCTTTAGACGTGACTTAACCGAAAGAAACAAAGAATAATTCCTGCAGTCACGAAAGCTCCAAAATTAAGATTAAAAGAGAAATGTGCAGCCCATGATAAATGCTTGTCACACCACCGCTGGTAGCGAGTCCCTCCAGACGGAAAGTCGCCTCCCGTCTCTACACTGCGCATGCATCCTGAACGATGTGGGAGTTCCTCGGTTCCAGCAGATGTGTTATGCAGTGTGCTATGAAGAAGGCCGATGGGCCGAAACGTCACCTGTAATATTTTCTATCCGTCGTTGTGTGTGCGCATCACTGCCACCGCTGTAAGTCCGCGTCGTGAGCACTTGCCTCTCTAAATTGGCCTTCAGCCCCCCAGGTATAATTTCGATTTAAAGCTTTCGTGACTACAGGGATTCATATTCTTGAATCTTTCGGTAAAGTCACGTAGAA